TGAGGGTTCCTTTTTCTCCGCAACCTCTCCAACATTTGTTGCTATTAGTTTTAGATATTTTTGTCATTCTAACGGGTGTAAGGTGATATCTTAGTGTAGTTTTGATTTGCATTTCCCTGATGATCAGCGATGATGAGCATCTTTTCATGTGCCTATTGGCCATCAGTATAGCTTCTTTGGAGAAATGTCTGTTCATGTCTCCAGCCCATTTTTTGATTGGGTTGTTTGATGTTTTGTGATTGAGTTGCGAGAGTTCTTTATATATTAAGGATATTAAGCCTTTGTCAGATATATGACTTGCAAATATTTATTCCCAGTTAGTGGGTTGTTTTTTTGTTTCAATCCTGTTTTCATTTGCCTTGAAAAAGCTCTTTAATCTGATGAAGTCCCATTTGTTTATTCTTTCTATTGTTTCCCTTCTCTGAGAAGGCATGGTGTCCGAAAAGATCCTTTTAATACTGATGTCAAAGAGTGTACTGCCTACGTTTTCTTCCAGAAGCCTTATGGTTTCAGGTCTCACCTTTAGGTCTTTAATCCATTTTGAGTTTATTTTGGTGAATGGTGGAAAAGAATGGTCAATTTTCATTCTTTTACATGTGGCTTTCCAGTTTTCCCAGCACCATTTGTTGAAAAGACTTTCTTTTCTCCATTGTATGCCCTCAGCTCCTTTGTCGAAGATAAGCTGTCCATAGATGTGTGGTTTTATTTCTGGGCTTTCAATTCTGTTCCATTGATCTGTGCACCTGTTTTTGTACCAGTACCATGCTGTTTTGATTACTGTAGCTTTGTAGTATGTTTTGAAGTCAGGGATTGTGATGCCTCCCGTTTTGTTCTTTTTTCTCAGGATTGCTTTACCAATTTGGGGTCTTTTGTTGCCCCATATGAATTTTAGGATTCTTTGTTCTAATTCTGTAAAGAATGAAGAATGACAATTTTTTAAAGAACAATGTATTACAGTAAATACGCTGCCAGGGAGCCGTTTCCCTTGTGAAAAGATTTAGAAGTGTCTTTTATAAATATGAAAACATTACAGTGTGGTAGCAGATTTTATAGACAGTGGCGTTCTGAATTGTTACAGCCAAAAATGTTTATCATGGCCCAGTATTATGAACAGATAGATAGACAGATGATAATATTCTACATTCATAAGCCTTATATCTTTATAAAATACTTTTGTATGTATTTCCTATTAAATTTTTACATAAACTCCATTTTACAGCTGAAACTTAAGATCTGGCAGTTTGTTAGATCAAGGTTGTGGAGCTTAAAATGTAATTAAAAAAATTTTTTTTTAAAGATTTTATTTTTCCTTTTTCTCCCCAAAGCCACCTGGTACATAGTTGTGTATTTTAGTTGTAGGTGCTTCTAGTTGTGGCGGTGCGACACCACCTCAGCGTGGCCTGATGAGCGGTGTCATGTCTGCGCCCAGGATTTGAACCAGCGAAACCCTGGGCCGCCAAAGCGGAGCGTGCAAACGTAACCACTCGGCCACGAGGCTGGCCCCAAGATCAAGGTTGCAGAGCTTAAACTTGAACCTCGGTCTTCTGAGCTTGTAGGCTTCCCACTTTCTCTTAGCAGTAACCTGTTTACCTGTGACATGTAAATAACATCTTTATGTTATCTGTAATATGATTACAGAAAATTTAATGGAGGCATTTAACGTTGGATTTTGAAAAAGAATGTGCTCTGACAAGACGCAAAAAATTCTAGGAAGGATGAAAGGAAAGTTGAAAGGCTGAGACAGGTGTGTAGGTTGGGACAGCAGTTGTGCCACAAAATTACGCTTTTCTCCTAGGTGTGTCTAGACTGATTTGTGTTTGCTGGTTCGCATAGAAGGTTTTGGGTGTGGGAGGAGGTAACTGAAGTTATGTTGTCAGTCACTCTTCCTGTCTTGGCTTTGTTTCTATAGATATTTTTCCTATAGTGACTTCACACTTTCAACTAATCTTCACCTGAACCGTTTAGTATCATACTTGAAGGCATGTTCCAAGACCGTTTTTTGCACTGTTGTCTTTGTCTGTTTTCTGAATGTCTGTATGTATATATTTTTTTGTCTGATTAATTTTTTTATTGAGATAACATTGGTTTATAACATTATGTAAATTTCAGGTGTACATCATTATATTTTGACTTCTGTGTAGACTACATTGTGTTCACCACCAAAGTCTAATTGCCATTTGTCAGCATACAAATGTACTCTTTTACCGTTTTGGGGGTAATGTGTGTGTATATTACTTATAGTTTTTTTAAGATGGGGATGTGTAGGGGCAGGAGGTGTAGATGGGAAATCTCTCTGCCTTCTGTTCAATTTTGCTGTCAACCTAAAACTGCTCTAAAAAGTAAAGTCAATAAATAAATATATTTTTAAATGAAATCTATAAAAAATTGGGTCATACTCTATTATAGTTTTATTTCCTGAGAAGCTGGTTTAATTTTATTCTGAAAAAGTTATATTTGTGACTGTGGTAGGTTTATAGTATATCATATTCTTTATATATGCCATTAAAATTCTATAGTTATTTTTTTCCTCCTTCTTCTCGTCCTCCTCCCCAAAGTCCCCCAGTACGTAGTTGTATATTCTGGTTGTAGGTCTTTCTGGTTGTGCTATGTGGGATGCCGCCTCAGCATGGCTTGATGAGTGGTGCTAGGTCTGCGCCCAGGATCCAGATCAGCAAAACCCTGGGCCGCTGAAGCAGAGCGTGTGAACTTAACCACTTGGCCATGGGGCTGACCTCAAAATTGTATAGATATTTTAATCTCTGTGGTTAGAAGTCAGGATTGTGGTTATCCTTTGGGGTGCTGCATAAAGACTGGAAGGGAACGCAGGAGGGGTTGTGAGGTGCTGTTTATTTTTGTGAAAATTTAGTTGTATATGTACATGCTTTTTCCCATATGTATATTATACTTTAATAAACTTTAAAATGTTTAGTAGTTATTGTGGGGCTGGCCCTGTGGCCAAGTGGTTAAGTTGGTGCGCTCTGCCTCCACGGCCCAGGGTTTCGCCAGGTTGGATCCTGGGTGCGGACATGGCACTGCTCATGAGGCCACGCTGAGGCGGCATCCCACATGCCACAACTAGAAGGACCCATAACTAAGAATATACAACTATGTACTAGGGGGCTTTGGGGAGAAAAAGGAAATAAAAATCTTTTGAAAAAATAGTTACTGAAACAGCACTTTGAGGTTAGTAAGATTAATAGGATAATTAGAAAAAAGAAATGTGGAGACATTTCAGATGACTGTTCTTCAGTTGTTATTTTAAATGATATGTAAATAGTTCATTTTATAAAATGTGTGGTTATTAGGAAATATTAACTTACATATATGTTAAGCTCTAGCTATTTGGAGTAACGTTTTATGCCTCAGTGACAGTCTATGACAGGATTCAAGGACTTTAAACCTCAAAAAGTAAGAGTACCAAACTAATGTGAAGAGTGAGAGCAGCTTTTCTAGTCTAGAATTTCAGCCATATGTGAGCAGATGAGGACCGTATCCACCTTCTTCACCTCTGTGTCCCTAACCTTTTGCTTGTACTCAGCGGTGCGTATGTGTCAAGTCAGTGAACCCCTGTTTTGCTTTGCTCTACCATCAACTGTTCTCTCATTCGCTTTGGGTATTAGCACTTTTAAGAAAAGCACTTTTGTCAGCTTGATAGGTGAAAATATCTTGTTTGAATTTGTATTTATTAGTGAGTGTAAGTTTTTAGATGTTTAATAAGTACATGGATTTAATTCTTTGAGAATTGGCTATTGAAGTAGTCTAGACCTGAGTTCAGTATGGTGGCCAGTAGTCTCATCTGGCTGTCAACAGTTAAAATGGAGCTACTTTGAGTTAAGATATGCTGTAAGTGTAAAATATACACTGGATTTTGAAATCTTATTATGAAAAAAATATAAAATATCTCTAATAATTGTTTAGTATTGGTTTCATTTTGAAATGATGTTTTAGATATATTGGTTAGATAAAATATATTATAAAATTAATTTCACTCTTTCCTTTTGTTTCTAATGTGACTACTAGAAAATTTAAATTTACATATATGGTAAGCACTATGTTTTTATGGGACAGTGCTCATTGAGACAGTAATCTAATCATTAAGAGATTAGGACCTGAATTAGGGTAGTATTTATAGAAAGGAAAATAAGGGATTTTAAGAAAGTATGCAGTATGCATATACACTTTATAATCTTTGTTACATTATGGGGTATTTTACAGTTTTGTGTGCTTGCCTCATGGCTTTGTAATCACCAGTAAGCTTTTTGAGGGCAAGGACTGTGTCACTACTTTTAAATTCTCCTCTACATTTTGTCTTTTGCTGGGTGCATAGAAGCTTGATTGAACAAATAAGAACATGACATCACATAATTTTATAAATTCAATTTTTAGAATGCAGATCAATGATTCCTAGAGTTCTTATACCATTTATTTTAATATAATATCACTAGCTAGATCCTTTGTAAAAGGTACAAGGGTAAGGGAACTAACATCTAGTCTTATATGTACAGGCTCTGGGTAGTCATTTTATGTTTCTTCATTTAGTCTTTATAGTAACCTATGAGAAAGATATCAACCACCATTTTACAGATTAGGAAACTGAGATGAGTAATTTTTCTAATATTATTTTACTAATTCAGATATACCCAACTTCAAACTTAGCACTTTTTCCACTGTATTTTACCGTCTCAATTAAAGTTAGCCAATTAAGTTATTTGAAGTTAGTCTACTGTTGTGGTTGACGTGAAATAAGTGAAGAATAATCTTTAGAGTGAAATGTATGATGATAAATTTTGAGTTTATGATGTGTGTATTATGTATTCCACGTTCAATATATGAAAGGAAATTTAGAAATATTTTCCAGAACCTGAGTGGAAGAAAAAACTGCATGTTTGTTTTTCATTTTGATTTCTTGGTGTATTGTAATGCTAGAAATTGCACTGTAGTTCATGGAAAAAAATAAAATGGTAAGTAGTTTTAAATATTTCCTTTACTTTGTCTTTCAGATAAAATCAAAGACAAAATTAGAGAGAGAGAGAAAGAAAAAGAGAGAGAAAAAAAGAAGCATAAAGTAATGAATGAGATCAAGAAAGAAAATGGAGAAGTAAAGATTTTGCTGAAAAGTAAGTTTATATTCAGTGATTTTAATTGTATTATATTGCTTAGTATACTTATTGGCTTAGTGACGAAAGTAAGAAATGTTATTTGGTGCTGAATTTTGCTGAGAATAAACATTAAATGGTCAGAATACAAAAAATGTCATGTCTTTAGTATATTTATTTAATGAGTCATGAAAAAGTAGTAAAAGTTAAGTTTCATTAAACTATTAAGCTCCTTAAGTTATTTTAAAATATGTTATCTAATTCTATCTTTGCATTATTAGTCTTTATCCATATTTAGATAATCTAAAATAAAAAGCTAGAGCAATTTTTAGCATGATAGGAATGGTGGAGGAAGTGATCTTATAAATATTTGACAGTAATTACCGTATCATATTCTGGATTTAGAGGGAACATTTTACTGTGAGCTAAATTAGAACATGTACTATTTTACTCTGTGTTTCTTGCATGCTTAAGAATATCCTCTTTTTATATCCTTTTTCTCTATTGTTACGATTGTTTTCAGTTGCTGTTTATGCATGGGGCTGGGTAGTTGGGTAATAAGACAAATCCTATCAATAAACCTGAACTTTGTCAGAGAAAATTTGTGGTAGAATAGAAATATGGACAGTCTTAAATTCAGTCAGATAGCAAGATAGGAAGAATCAGTGGCATTTGTTTGTTAGACAGATAGCGAATCATTAGCTGCCCTGTCAAGTTGACAGTTTACAGATGAGAGCGCGTTGACTTCAGTTAATTTCATGTTGCATTTATGTGATGGTAAGCCTTTATGTCTGCATAAGGGAGAAGAGGCCATAGCACTGCGTGTGCAACGGACTAAGAGGTTAATTTATATTATTTAAGATAAACAGCACTAGATTGTGTATTTTCATTTCATTCATTGTCATGTTTCCAGATGTTCTTTGGGAGTACTTTATGTAAGCTGTATTTTCTACTTGTCAGAAGTTTATTTTCCATGAAATTCTTTTGACCTTGAAGAAACATGTCAGAGCTTAAGTTGATGCTTACTTAGTTAATGCTCGTGGTCCTTTGGTTCTGTTTCTTTTGCTAGTGTGTTTTATCTGTGTTGTCTAATTAGATTGTAAGCCTTTTGAGGCAGGAATCAAATCTAACACACTAGTGCTGTACAGCAGCTAGTGATTAATGTTTGAAATGTTTGCTTAGCTTAACCCAATTGGTTTAGTCAAATAGTTATTTTTTAATGGTTTCGTTAGATAGTCGTTTTCTTATCCATTTGATTGAACAATAATGTAAATTCCTGTCACTTGGTTGAATGTTGCATTTCTAACATGCCCTTAATGTGAAATATGTGAATCTAGAGATTATGCAAACAAAATTTAAAATAGCCTAATAAATAAATATTTTCTAGTAATATGCAATAGTAACCTTGACTTTGAAGTAAATGAAAAATTTCAACTGAGCTAAACTGAAATCTAGTAATGATAAAGGGAAAAAAATGAGATAGATTTGGAAATGAATTGGTGACCTCTGGGATGACCATAGAAAATGTATTTACTGCCTAATAGAGGTAAATAATAATTTAATTACTGCCTGACAAGGTTGTGAAAATTAAAGGAGGTAAATTATGGGTGAAGTGCCACGTACAGTGACTGGTCCACAGGTATTCAGTAAGCGGATATGAATCTTTCCTGTAAACATGTAGGAAAGGTTAATTCTTGTGATTAAAAAACAACAAATCTATCTCCTTTCCTCAATGGGTAGTATATAGATAATTAAATGAATAAAAACATGAGAGTCATTTGGGAAACAGTGCCTGTCCCTTTGTAGTACTAAGTGTTAACTATTGGTATTATCCAGCAAAAACAATTTGCTGTGCTTGTGTGGCCATTTCCCAGGTGAGCCTGTGATCAGGGAAGGGCATCCATTGTTATTGGTGTCTTGGAGCAACAACAGAATCAATTTGTTGGGGAGAGTATACTATTAATTACTGCTCTGTGCCCGTTTTTTCTTTATGGCCTTCACCTTCTATTCTCTCCTTGCAGTTTTCTCCTGATAATGCTAATGTTGCGAGCTTTGGCACTCACTTGGGCCTTGGTTGTTTGATGATAGATGCTAACTCTTACTTCACACCAGTCTCATTGCCTCCAGGTTTTCATTAAGCACTGTGTCAAGTTGAATATAATAGAGATATATCCACAATTATATACTTGCTAAAAAGTTTTTATTAATGCAGAAATCTTGTAAATGTTTTTCACTGATAAAATAGGATTGTTTGCTTTATTATAAATACATTAAGGGAACAAATAAATTTGAAACATAAGCTTATTTACCTCATCCTTTTATAGCTAATGTCTACCAAGTTTTTCTGAACACACTTAAATGTTCCGGCCATTTTTGTGTGTTTATTGATAAGTTGTAAGAACATAGATGTTATGATTATACTATTTTTGAAACTAAATTTTATCATAGCATGTCAAAGAAGCTTACTGATAAGTAGGTGGAATGGGGGTTAAAGGAAGCCAGTGTCCAAGATTATTGGTAGTATTGGTAGTCCACTAAACGTCAAAGACAGGTAATGCATGGCAGGAAGAGTGAAAATATTGCCGTGTGACAAAAGCAGCATCACTCCTCAAAGACCAAAGGTTGAAAATAACTAAGCTAATTACTACTTTTTTCTGTGTATAATACTGGAGTTATATATATTAATTTCTGTATTAGATATTAAATCAGATCCAATTTTGCTGGGCAACCTTTATTTTTTCCTTTATTAATACTAAAAGTATATACATAAAGGTTAGTGGTGGAAATTAATGCCAGCAAATTTGTGATTTTTAAAGTGTTTTTTAAAATATAATTAGCCATTAACAGCATATGCTGTTTTTGTATCTGTTTTTGTGTGTGTTTTTCTCTCTGTGAGTGTCTGCATCTTTTTCTGTGTCTGATTCTCTCTGGCTCTGTGTGTGTGTGTGTGTGTGTGTCTGTGTCTGTGGATCTGTGGGGTGAGGGTTTCCCGTCAACCTTAGACACTTATACTCTTTGAGGGTCCAAATAACTTTGACAGCAATTCCATTCTTTCTGTTTTGGGTACTTATCAGGATCCTTTAAAAAAACTACAGGTCTGATTTATTGGTCTCTGAAGAATCATAGATTTAGAGTAATGTGCACTTGAAATACTTTTTAGTATAAGAAAGAGCATTAATATTCAAAATGGTCTTATTTCCTTAAGGCATTTTAAAATTTCTTATGTATACATCTACTGCATTTCATGTGTCATTCCAAGACAGGAAATGAGGGAGAGATTATATAAAACTTTAAAAATCTATCTAGTGAATGCTAATGCTTCGGTTTGGTTTAAATGTTAGGAATACACTTTACCTGTGACTGAAAGGAAGAGAAGGGAAAAACCTGTAAACTTCTGGTAGTCTGTTGGTGAGAGAAGTCTTTTCATTCATAGATTCATTAACTGTTCACCTGTAACAGTGTACTAGATTTCATGAGGGATACAATGATTGGGACACAAAAAGTATCATTTCACCTCAATGCATATAAAAGTTATTTGTTTCACTCATACAAGTGTCCTGAAGGACATATGATATATAGGGATCCATGAGTGGAAAAATAATAACTTTATATGACTATATCATATATATAATAACTTTATATGAATTTTGAGTGATTTCAGTTCCAACTAGAGAGAAGAGGGGAAGGAAAATGAAGGAAATGACGTAAGAATTATCTTTAAAGGATGGGTAAACAAGAGTTCAGTAGTAAGTACTAGGCAGGGCAAGGGTATTTTAGGGAGAGGAAATGCCTTTGCCAGTAGTAGTAAAATAAGGTAGGACTAGGTATGTTTTTTAAGAAATTGTAATGGTGCAGAGTGACCAGAGCATGAAGTACTGATTCCAGACTGAGGAGTTTATATTTTATTTGGTACGCATTGAGAACCCTTGGAAGCAGTTGAGTCAAGGGGTGAATATGATCCAAACAGTATATAAACTTAGAGAAAGAGTAATATGGCTCCAGCATTCAGGATGAAAGGCAGTCATGAGGCTGTTAGACCAAAAATTAAGGCAGTAGTGTTGTGGAAGTGAAAAATAATCAAGGGTGAGCTGGATAATTCTGTCAAACCTTGGAGAAATCAAGAAAAATGATTTGAGAGAATATCATTGGATTTGATATTTGACTTTTCTGGGAAAGTAAATTTGAGTAGACTGGAAGCAGAGCCAGAATTTAAGGAATAAGAATAGTAAGGTAATACAGGGAGAGCACTGGGGGTAGATGGTTCTTCACAAGAACTTTGATTGTCGAAAGAAGAGGAGAGAGAACTTTTGAGCCAGAGTTTTTGGAGTTGGTGAGAGGGACTTATTTTTGGAAAGTAGGAGGACATCTTACTTACCGGAGACAGAAAGGAATAAAAGAGATATGTGAAAACGGAAAATTTTAGGTAAAGAAGCGGGTTGGGAAGATTTAATTCATGACAGGTTATCTGTAAATGTGAAATAACAGGTGGAAACAGTGAAGGCCTTCTTTTCTCAACTGTTAGCTTAATGGCTTTTTCGTATTATCTTAGGAGGTATAATATTTTCTTAGGATGTTTACTTTTTCCTGTTTTTCTTGTGTAGAAATAAATATACACTGATATTGTTAAGCATTTATATGTACACTTAGATTCTATAGTGGATTAATGGTTTATTCTTTTTTTTTTCCTCCCAAAACCCCCTGGTACATAGTTGTGTATTTTTAGTTGTGGGTCCTTCTAGTTGTGGCATGTGGGATGCCGTCTCACCATGGCCTGATGAGCAGTGCCATGTCTGCGCCCAGGATTCGAACTGGCGAAACCCTGGGCCACTGAAGCAGAGTGCGTGAACTTAACCACTTGGCCACAGGGCCGGCCCCCTAATGGTTTATTCTTTGGAGTTATAAATTTCTGCCCAGAGTCTACTTGCCTTTGGTTACAGAAGCTCATTAATATGTAAGCTTCCTGATGCCCCATGTCTTTTACTTATACTTTTTTATTTATCTTTTTACCAGTATATGGGTATCATTTGTGCTTAGGATATGAGAAATGATTCTAATTGTGTCACTCCCTTATTGTACCTTATTGGATCTTTATGGGGAACTTTGTGAACTCTGGTGGACCAAAAATAGCCCATTTTAGATGCAAGAGTAGTCTGCATCTAAAGGAGGAAATATGGTAAAAAGCTAAGGAATTACTATTATATATTACTATAATCCTATTATGCTATACAAGTATTTTTCTCCCTTTGTGGTTTATAAACTTGAACACCTATTTGCAATTTTTAAGAACTTAGATAAAGTAAAACTGATGATATAAATCAGTGGGAAACACCTAGAGCACATTGTTCGTGTTCACCTTTGTTCAACTTCCCATTTTTTATGTTATACATTTAAAGCTTGAAGATTATGCTTTCTCAGACATTCATTCCTTTTGTTGCTTTAGTAAACACTGAGCATCTGCTCCATGTCAGAATGGCGCTGTGCACTATAGATGTAACTTTGCTGTAAGCTTTCCTGTGTGCATTTTTGTGTGTGTGGAGAGAGGGAAAGAGACTGACTAAATTATGATTATCAGTACTGTGTGAAACGAGTCCCAAGTAGAAACCTAATTCTGAGTATAAACTTTGCTTATTTGTTATAAGATAGTTCCTAAAGCATGATTTTTAAGTAACTAAAATATGGAGTTTCAAAAAAATAACTTTTCCCAACAGGTGGGAAGGAGAAACCAAAAACAAATGTAGAAGACTTACAAATTAAAAAGGTAAAGAAGAAAAAGAAAAAGAAACACAAAGAGAATGAAAAACGGAAGCGTCCAAAAATGTATAGCAAATCTATTCAAACCATTTGCTCAGGATTGCTCTCCGATGTTGAAGGTCAAGAAGCCAAAGGCATCCTAAGTGATAACATAAAGGATTACAGTGGAAAGAATTGGGACACCAAGAACTATGATTCCAAGATTCCAGAGAACAGTGAGTTTCCCTTTGTCTCATTAAAGGAGCCACGGGTTCAGAACAACCTGAGAAGGTTGGACACTCTGGAGTTCAAGCAGCTCATTCACATTGAGCACCAGCCCAACGGGGGCGCGTCTGTTATCCACGCCTACAGTGGCGAGCTCTCCCACCTGTCTCCTGTGGAGATGGAGAGGTTCGCGGAAGAGTTTGTGGGTCTGGTGTTCAGTGAAAATGAAAACTCTGCAGCTTTCTATGTAATGGGTATTGTTCATGGGGCAGCTACTTACTTACCTGACTTTTTAGACTACTTTTCATTTAATTTTCCCAATTCGCCAGTGAAAATGGAGATATTGGGAAAGAAGGATATAGAGACAACGACTATGTCCAATTTTCATGCTCAGGTAAGAGATTTTTTATATTTTCTAAAAAACCTTTAATTATGTTTTAGACAAGTTTCTGTGTTTTTTTCTTTTCATTTTGCTATAGGTTTGAATAAAAAGGTAAGAATATAGTTAAATCTCTCGGGAATATTAAGAATAAATTACTTTCTTTATGTGAACATCAGTTTAAATTTCAGTTTCTACTTAGCTGTTTGTTCTTAGAGATAATTAATGAAATAATTAAGATTTTGTTATCCTTTTTTGCACAGATTTATCTTGGAAATGAAACGAATGAAATGAATTTAACCATGTATTTTCCAGTCCTTACAACAGTTCTCTTACTGAAAATCACCTAAAATTGTCTTCTTGCTTTATGTGATAATGCCTTAAAAGGGCTTGACTGTGATTGCATCGCATAGGAGGTGCTGAATAAGTGTTGGCTGGTAAATACATTTAAGGTTGGCAGCAGTGCCAGGCGTAGAATGAAATCTCTTTAATCCTCTTCCAGGACTCTTTTCCTTATTCTGAGTACACCTTTTTGCTGTGTATTCAACTTATAGTCTCCACCTGAAGTGATATCTGGACGTCCAGTCACAACTACACGTACCAATCCCCTGCCCCCACAGTATGTTTGGTGTATATTCTGTAATATAGTGTAGTCTGGAAAATAAGGTAGTATTTAAAGTTTTAATGTGTGTGGAATTATTCCCTAAAGTAACATGTTTGAGAATCGGAATTTAAATAGTTTTCAGAGCTGAAAGGGAGCTGGACAGCAATCCATTACTAGCCCTGTCATTTTATAGAATTCCAGAATGGTTGTAACTTGTCTGAGATTACACGAGTTTAGTGATAGAACCAGACTGGTATGTAGTAATAGTGTCTGCTACTTATTGAGTACCAACTGTGCCAAGAGCTGCTCTAAGCTCTTTATATGTAATAACTCTTTTAATCCTCATTAAAATGTATTTTAGCAACAAGGAAACATTACAGTGTAGAAGAAATTACTTACCTAAAGTCCTTCAGTACTAGATCATTTGTTTGTCGTTTATTATCTATCTACTACATGCCAGGTTTTATGCTAGGCCTCTTGACTTCCAATACCTTTTATTTCTACATATCACAAACTTTCTTACTGCCATACTATGCAAGTTTATTTCAGTAATTTTTTAAATGTCATAATACTTAACACTTGCTTTTCAAATAGCTTTTAAGGTTAGGAATTATTAATATTTTATTAAATAATAATTTTCATCTTAACTATGTAATAAGTATAACATGAATACTGTGCTTTTGTTATTAAATAAAATGAAATGCTGGGACTTGTTAATCATGCCACTGTGTGACTAGGTTGTGGGTCTCAAGTCCTTGAAGAGCCGCCTACCCTGGTTGCCACCACCTGCTCAGGGTTCTTGGGTAATCTGTATGGCACAGTGGAGGCTCTAGGCAGATGCATCATCTTTGTTAGCAGCTGTCGTTCTGGCCCCATCTATGTGATCTGTCAGCTGCAAGGACTGCTTTTACCTCTTTCGCTGTAGAGTTAATAGCAGGAAGATACCCGTGCAGGGTCTGTGTTCCTTTAACCTAGGATCCTCCAGACCCACTCGTTCTGTGGTGTGGGGAAGGATAGCTGGTAAAACGCTGCCCTGAGCTGCTCATTTGGTATGTCCTCCACACTGGATTCTTACGCTGCTTGTGTATTTAAGAGCCTAGGAGACTGAGGAGTTGTTTTCTGCAGAGTGGAAGGGAGCCTTGGGTTGGTCCTTACGTGCTGGCTTCATGAACCCGCATGGGATACCAGAGAGAGTGGTAGAAGAAAAATGAGCATGCTTACTGTAGCTTAGTTTTATTTCTAATTTCTTGACTTTCCCCAGTAAAAGCTCTCTCAACCTAACTGGTGGTATCCCTTCAGGAAATGATCTTTTAAAACCGTTTATACGGCTTTTTATTTGGGAAAATGCTTTATGAATTACACAGGGACTGACTTACAAACATATATTTAGAGCTAAACCTCGAGACTTTTATTGTCCTGAATGTGAGAACCAGTCTTCCAAATTTAATTTGTAGAAATATTTGATAGTAGTATTTTAAGGTAGTGGGTTGTGGCTGGCTTACTGAGCGTGGCTGGATGACCTCTGATATGGGGCGAGTGGAAAGGGAAGGGGTCAGATCCTCCTCCTGCTGTTCACCAGTGACACTGGATGGCTGTGTAAGCTCTTTTTTTTTAAGATTGGCGCCTGAGCTAAGATCTGTTGCCAGTCTTCTTCTTCTTCTTCTCCTGCCCAAAGCCCCCCAGTACATAGTAGTGTATTCTAGTTGTAGGTCCTTGTTCTGCTGTGTGGGACGCCGCCTCAGCATGGCTTGATGAGCAGTGCCGTATCCACGCCCGGGATCCATAACAGCAAAACCCTGGGTCACTGAAGCAGAGTGCACGAACTTAACCACTTGGCCACGGGGCTGGCCCCTACTTAGGCTCTTTATGTCTCAGTGCCCTCACCTACAAAATAAAGATAATAATAGTACTCTATTCACAGGGTTGTTAGAGATGCTTCATAGAATATAACAGGTTATACAGAGATAGTTGTTATACCGACTTAGTGCAGTCTTACAACAGCTTTCCATTTGTTGACCAGCGCTGCCTGCCTTCTGAGTGAGGCCTCTTAAGAGTGTGTTAATTGATGGTAGGGAGTTCAGCAAGGACGGAAGATCAGAAATCACTGCAGCTGCTTTGCGTATGGACCAGGAGTTGACTAAATTGTGGTATATGCACACAATGGAGTATTATCCAGCAATGAAAAGGAGTACAGTACTGATGTGTGCTGCAGTGTGAATGAACCTGAAAACGTTCTGCTGGGTGGAAGGAGCCAGTCACAAAAGGTCACATGTTGTGTGATTCCATGTATAGTAAATATCCAGAGTGGGTAAATGCATAGAAATAGAAAGTAGATTGGTGGCTGCCAGGGACTGGAGGAAGAGGAAAATGGGGAGTAACTGCTTAATGGGTATGGGATTTCCTTTCTTTTTTTTTTAACTAATGTTTTTTTATTGAGATAATTGACATGACATTGTATTAGTTTTGATGTGCACATAATGCTTTGATATATGTATATATTGTGAAATGATTTCCACAATAAGTTTAGTTAACATCCATCACTGCACACAGTACAGTTTTTTTCTTGTGATGAGAACTTTTAAGCTCTACCCTGAGCAAATTTCAAATATACAAATCCAGAATTAACTGTAGTCACTGTGACGTACATTACATCCCAAAGACTCATTTACCCTATTAACTGGAAGTTTGTACTTTTTGACCACCTTCACCCATTTTGCCCCCCATCCCTCCTGCCCCCAACAACCACCAGTCTGTTCTCTGTATCTATGAATTCAGGTTTTGTTTGTTTGTTTTTAAGATTCCACGTGCAAGTGAGGCATACAGTATTTGTGTGATTTATTTCACTTAGCTAATACCCTCAGGGTCCATCCCTGATGTCTCAAATGATAGGATTTCCTTCCTTTTTTGTGGCTGAATAGTATTCCTCAGACACACACCACAGTTCTTTTATCCATTCATCCATTAAGGAGCACTTCAGTTTTTCTGTCTCTATGTCTTGGCTATTGTAAATAATGCAGTGAACGTAGCGTGCGGATATCTTTTCGAGAGCGATTTCGTTTCCTTTGGATAAATACCCAAAAGTGGACATACTGGACCATATGTTAGTTCTATTTTAATTTTTAAATTTTTTAAAGATAAACTTTTTTAAAGCTTTTTTAAAACTGATTTTTAAAATTAAGCTTTTTACCGAAGTATAATATGTACACAGAATGCACATATTATAAATGTGTAGCTTGATGAATCTTTACCAAGTGAACAAACCCATGATTTTAAAACTAATATTACTAGTAGCCAGAGCCCTCCCCAAGCCTCTCTTTCTCAGTACCCTGACCCCCCATACATACACAAACACCTAGGAAACTACTCTCCTGACTTTGAACACCACAGATAAATTTTACCTGTTTTTGAACTTTTATATAATGGAATCAAATAGTATGTACATTGGTATGTGTGGCTTCTTTCCTTTAGCATTGTGTTTGTCAGATTCATCCATCTTGTGTTTAGTAAGTTTGTTTTCTCATTGCTGTATCTTACTCTATTGTATGAATATACCACAATTTATTTATTCTGTTTACTATTGATGGATATTTGAGTTGTTTCCACTTTGGGGCTGTTACAACAGAGATGCTATGAATATTTTTGTGCATGTGTTTTGGTGAGCATATGTATTTGTTTCTGTTGGCTATATACTATACATAGGATTGGAATTTCAGGATCAAAAGGTATGCAAATGTTAGCTTCACTAGATACTGCAGTTTTTCCAAAGTTATTGTCCCAATTTACATTCCCACCAGCAGTGTTCCATGTTCTTGGGCACACTTAATAGTGTCTCTCTTTTCCATTTTAGCCATTCTGGTGGCTGTATTACTGTATCAATTAGTGGGTTTAAATTGCATTTCTCTGATGACTAAGGAGGTCAAGCACCTTTTAATATAATTATTGTCCAGTTGTATATCCTCTTTTGTAAAAGTACCTGGTCTACTCTTGCCCTGTTGGACTTTGTTTCTAATTGATTTGTTGGAGTTCTTTGTATATTGTAGATAAGAATCTTGTTAGCTATAAGTATTGCAAATACTTTCTTTCACTCAGTGGCTTGCCTTTTCATTATTGAGTGTCTTTGATGGCTAGAAGTTCTTAAGTTTAATGTAATCTAACTTATAAGGTTTTTTCCCCTACTTACGGATACTGCTTTTTGTGTCCTCTTTATGAAATCTTCATCTACCCCAAAGATCATTAATACATTCTCTGAAGTTTTCTTCTGGAAACTTTTATTGTTTCATCTTTCACATTTAAATCTATAGTTCTTCTGGAATTGATTTGTATATATGGTATGAGATAAAGATCAAGGTTCACATTTTTCCTATAGGCATTCAGCGGACACAGTCATTTATTGAAAAGACACCCATTTCCC